AATCAACAATAACCAATGCTCTGATACCACTTTGTTGGGAAAGACAAGGCACTAACAAAGAATGTCTGACAGGATAACAGCGGAAGAATACCCAAGTCTATATTTTCCCTTCTCGATTTGAACCAAGAGAATACAAACAACCACAAGCAATATGATAGTAAGGCAGCAAGTAATTCAACCAAACAAATATAACAAGACAATAATAAACCAATCACACAAGACACCAAGATTTACGTGAAAAACCTTTCGATGTGAAGAGTAAAAAACCACGGGACCAAAAGCTCCACTATAATCACCAAGAGTTACAATATTGTTCTCCAAAATTGTCCACAAAACAAGTGCCAAACAACGAGCAACAACAAAATAAAATTGCACCAAATCTAGAGAATTAAAGGAGCAAAAACACCAATTTCGCAGCTATTGTTCACGACAGCAAAACTGAAGCTGCAGGCCACCAAATCCAACTCTATCAGTTCCTAATCAAAGATTGAGATGAAGATAATATGTTGTCCAAAAATCAGCTCAATCGGACAAGAAACTAAGCGGGGATCACAATTTGAAGTTGGCTGTTAGGGCTGAATTTTTGACTGTGAAAATCTCTCTTTCTCTCTTTTTGGCTGCTGAAAAAACACTCTTGTATGTCTGAAAATAAGACCCTAAATAGGTTTATATTTGCCTCATAAGAATGGGCCTATGGGCAAAAATGGGTTGGTCCAAATTGGACTTTTATTTATCCACATAGGAAGGGAAAAAGGTCCATAACCCAACAGTACTAAGAGCGACTGCAAATCCACCAAGTGAAGCACTCATGTCCATTACATTACATATTTCTTTCTCGTTTACATCAATCAGTCTCCAGAAATGACGAACTTGATCTTGCCAATAGATTGTATCTGCTAAGAACTTCTCTGGATCAATACCTGCAGTAAACCGATTATAACATTTTTAAGCAAGCATTCTTTCCCCAAAAGGAAGTGAAAAAGAATTACTCATGTACGTTTACCAATGTTAAAAGAAAATGGCTTCAAAGTTGTATCTGGAGCTCAGTTGCATTCTTTCTAACTAAATCTACTTGATCTATTACTTTCCTCAGGAGTATATGATCAGGACTAAGAGTCTTTTAAAATTTTTACCCTATATACTATATAGTTTTATGGTACCATAGTCATTAGAGGAAACACTCATAGTATGAAAAATAAAGGTGTTACTACAATCATAAATACTGCTACTGATACTAAATGAAGAAAGATTGTTTTTCTTGCTCGTGATTACCAATCTTGAGGGATATTTCAGAAGACTTATTTGACAGAATATAAAACTTAACATTGTATTACATTTTCATTCACTTTAAGATTGTTCCAAAACTAAACAACTGGCCAACAGAATAATCAATTAATTGAATAGAACACTAAGGAAAAGAACTCACAAACCTAGCTGACTAAGACTTTGTGAATACTCTGAAAGACGTTGTGACCAAGGAAGTAGTTTCTTTTTATTAGATAATGTGTCACTTAGAGTAATACAGTTCCTCAGAGGTGTTCTCCATGATGGTTTAAAATCATCCTGAGAACCACAGATGTTTACAAGTTTCTCCTCTGCATTATGCTATGTTGCTTGGACTCATCAAAAATACCACCATGTGTGTATTGGATCCACCGGAAGCTATGCATTACTTGAGGATCCAACACGGTGCAGCAATAATTTTGGAGGGTCCAAGTAACACAATTCTCATGTAGACTATTCAATTGTCAAGAATGGGCATCATAACGGCATCATGCAGAAACGCTAACTATGTGGTCATACCATATGAACAAGGTATATCACATAACTTCTTTCACCATGAAGAAACAAAGTTCTGTTCTTAGTCAGAGAGTCTGAGCGATGACAATTTAATAGTAATGAGAGTTTGTTAAGTAGACTTCATGGATGACTAGAATTATTTAAGAGTTTCAAGACTATTACAAAGTGGAAAGAGGAGCTACATGTGCATAGTAGTTAGTATGAGAGGCAAACAATGGCATTTGTTTTTCAAAATCAGATATATGCTAATCCTATAGCTAGAGGACCGGAATCTTCGAGAAAATCCAAAGTGTGCTTGAGTTATGAGGACCTGTTTTGTGAATGTACATTAACTTTGCTTCTAACATGATAATGAGTTCCAAAAGTACAATCTTTGAGAATCTAGATGTTGTTTCAGTAATGAATGTGCAGGATGTAGGAAGCCAAAATATTCACGAACACTCTCCAGAGTTAATCTCAAACTAGTCACATACAGAAAAACACATTTAAACTTAAAGATTTTACTCTATAATAAATGCAGCGCTCACCATTTTCATGCCAATCAACTCGACATCTCAACAGAGTTGCTAGGATATGGCAGCTGCTTTGGCGCTATAGCAGATATTGTTGCACCGATTCTTCGTTCCAAAGCAAACTGAATTTGGTTCTCATGATCATCTTTAGGAGCAAAGGACGTTGTTTCTATACTTAAAGGAAGAAGATAGGCAGAGAAACTGGCAACACCACAACCAACATCAAGCACTTCAAATACCCCTGCAGATCATAATGCAGCAGAGAAGGACTGCATGAATCGGAATCCGCTTATTAAGACGGACGACCGAGAAAGAAAGGCTTCGAGTTCGAACAATGCTTGATCTTAGCACTTTCTCATTAGTTGTCATATTTCCTAACCTGCACCAAATAACTAACTTAATAAATGACATACATAAAAACTTACATGTCCACATATTGAGACTAAGTCATACCTTAGAAGAAATAGACGAACATCATGATCGGCAGATTTGGATGGAGTCTGTAAGCAACTAACAAATATGTAAAGTATAGATTTGGCAAATGGGCGGGTTTGGTCAAATTTAGGTGGGTTGAAAATGGATAATAATTCAACCCGCCCATATTTAAAAATGGATTGGGTACTAAATGGGTTGGGTGAAATACTAGTTTACCCATATTTTCATGAATTTTGAGTGAATAATAGAAGCTTAATCCGTTTGGCTAATCCATATTTTATGGGTTGAATATGGATATCAACCTATATTTTACTACCCACGTAAAAAGTCACTCACCCAACCCATTAAAATATGAGCAAGTTGGGCGGGTTATCAAAATATGAGCTCATTTTGCCAGCACTAGTCACAAATCATGAGCGCTCCCCCGTTTTTACATTCAAAGCACCAATAAATATTTTACAAATTCTTCTTTGTTGAAAATCTTCTTTCCCCTCTTCGTCGCAATTTGTAGCAGATGAGTTTCTTAAAATTGAAATATCAGAGACCCACTTCACTAGAATCAAGCTCCCATGTTTAATTCAAATGATAAAAACTAAAATGCAGATATAACAATTGTTAGTGTAATCTTTTTCCTTTTAGAAAAAATTCAAAAATATATATATATATTAACAAACAAAGAAAATCAAAGCTTGATGATTAGCCTAGAGAATGAAATACCCATTAACAAAACACACAAAAAACAAGTTCTCTTAACACAAAATTCTAAGAACTCCCAAGAATCATAACAAAATTATAGATTTTCAAACACTTCCAGCACCCATTTCCCTAAAAACCATGAATATCGTTTTGATCAACAAAAAGATATCATAAAAACAAGAAAAAAATTAAGCATTACTAGTCCAACATAGATGCAAATCACTACATTCTTCAATAGAAAGCTGAAAATTTTTCTATCGCGATAACAAAAACCATAAAAACGAGAATTGGGGGTACAAAAAAAGAGAGAATTGGGCGTAACGAGAAAAGAAAGATTTTTCTAATAAGGTCTTTTAATAGAAGAGTCCAATTCAACAAAGTTATGTTTGGATTGGAGGAATCTTTTATTGGATACAACAATCATTTACTTATGAATAGTAAATACACACTTAACAATCCTTTCTTTTTTCGTTACTCTCAATTTTTTCATTACCTCCAATTCTCTTTTATGATTGATGTTATCGCTAATAAAAAAATTTCAGCTTTTTATTAAAGAAGGTAGCGAATTCCGTTTAGGTTGGACTAATAATGTTAATTTTTTTCTTATTTATGACATATTTTGATTGATCAAAATGATATTCATGTTTTTAGGTCAATGGGTGCTAGAATTGTTTGAACATCTATAATTTTGTTATGATTCTTGGTATATCTTCATAATTGTGTTAAGAGAACCTGCTTTTTTATTGTGTTTTGTTAATGGGTATTCATTCTCTGGGCTAATCATCACGCATATATTTTTTGCTATTTTTTCTAAAATAGGGAAAGAATTACGCTAACTGTCATATCTGCATATCAGTTTTAATCATCTGAACTAAACATGAGAAATTTTCTTCATTATAGTGAAGTGGGTCTCTGGTAATTCAATGCTACAAATTGCAACGAAGAGGGGCAAGACGATTTTCATCGAAGTAGAGCTTGCAAAAGATTGGTGTTTTGAATGTAAAGATGGATGAGAGCTCATGATTTGTGACAATGGGCAAGACATTTTGCTAAAAAAATCAATTTTTTTGGTATATTTGATGAAATAAACTAAAAACATGATCATCATAAAAATGTTTCCAAATTATGAACATTTTCTAGTTTATTTTATCAATTATACCAAAAATAAAATTATTTTTTTGGCAAAAAGACTTGCCCAGAGTCACAAATCATGAACTCTCTTTCATCTTTACATTCAAAGCGCCAATCTTCTGCAAATTCTTCTTTGTTGAAAATCTTCTTGCACCTCTTCGTCGCAATTTGTAAAGTTCGTTGAAATTGAATTACCATTGACCCACATCACTATAATCAAGAAACTTCTCATATTTAGTTCAAATGATCAAAACTAAAATACAAATATGACAATTATTAGTGTAATTTTTTTCAATTTACAAAAATAGCAGAAAAAATATATATATTAAGTAAACAAAGAAAATCAAAATTTGATGATTAGCCCGGAAGATGAAATACCTATTACCAAAACACAAGAGAAGGAAATTCTCTCAACACAAAATTCTAAAGAACTCCCAAAAATCTTAACAATATTATAGATTTTCAAACATTTCTAGCACCCAATACCTAAAAATATGAATGTCATTTTGATCAACCGAAATACATCATAAAAATCAAAACAAGAAAAGAATTTGCATTACTTGTTCAATGTAGATGCAAATCATTATATTCTTCAATAGAAAGGTGAAAAGTTTTGTTCAACGATAACAACAACCATAGAAAAGAGAATTGGGGTAATGAAAAAAAGAGAGAATTGGGGGTAACGAAAAATAGAAAGATTTTTCTAATAAGATTTTTTAATTTAAGAGTCCAATTCAATAAAGTTTTACTTCCAATCAGTTACTTGTGAATTTGCTCACACACACTCAACAATCCTCTCTTTTTTTGTTACCCCCAATTTTCTCTTCTATGTGGATGTTATAGCTAAGCAAAAATTTTCAGCTTTCTATCAAAGAAGGTAGTGATTTCCATCTAGGTTAGACTAATAATGCTGATTTTAATTTTTATGACATCTTTCGGTGTTAATCAAAATGACATTCATGTTTTTAGGTCAATGGGTGCTAGAAGTGTTTGCAAATTTATAATTTTGGTATTTCTTCAATGATGTGTTAAGCGAACTTGCTTTTTAGTTAATGGATATTTTTTTTCTCCGAGCTAATCATCAAACTTTGTTTGTTAATGTATATATTTATTTCTAAATGGGAAAGAATTACACTAACAACTGTCATATCTGTATATCAGTTTTAGTCATCTGAACTAAACATGAGAAATTTTCTTCATTATAGTGAAGTGGGTCTCTGGTAATTCAATGCTACAAATTGCAATGAAGAGGGGCAAGACGATTTTCATCGAAGTAGAGCTTGCAGAAGATTGGTATATTTGATGAAATAAACTAGAAACATGGTCATCATAAAAATGTATCCGAATGATGACCATTTTTCTAATTTATTTATCAATTTATACCAAAAATAAAATTGATCTTTTAGCTAAAGGACTTGTCCATAGTCACAAATCATGACCTCTCTTCCATCTTTACATTCAAAGCACCAATTTTTTGCAAGTTTTTCTTTGTTGAAAATCTTCTTGGACCTCTTCGTTGCAATTTATAGAAGATGAGTTTCTTGAAATTGAATTACTAGTGACCCACATGACTATAATCAAGAAACTTCTCATGTTTAGTTCATATAATCAAAACTAAAATACAGATACGATAATTATTAGTGTACAAGTCCTTTGTACAAACAAAGAAAATCAAAAGTTGATGATTAGCCCGCAGAATGAAATACCTATTACCAACATACAATAAAAAAAGAGATTCTCTTAACAAAAAATAAAGAACTCTCAAAATCAGAACAATATTACAAATTTTCAAACACATTTTGCACTCATTAACCTAAAAACATGAAAAAACTTGATGATTAGCCCGGAGAATGAAATACATATTACTAAAACACAATAGAAAAGAAATTCTCTTAACACAAAGTTCTAAAGAACTCCCAAAAATCATAACAATATTATAAATTTTCAAACACGCACTCATTGACCTAGAAAACATGAATGTCGTTTTGATTATCGAAAGATATCATAATAATCAAAACGAGAAAAGAATTTGCATTACTGGTCCAACGTAGACACAAATCACTGCATTCTTCAATAGAAAGGTGAAAAGTTTTGTTCAACAATAACATCAACCATAGAAAAAGAAAATTGGGGTAAAGAAAAAAAGAGAGAATTGGGGGTGCCGAAAATTGAAAGATTTTTCTAATAAGGTTTTTAAAATAGAAGAGTTCAATTCAATAAAGTTATACTTACAATCAGTTAGTTATGAATTTCTCACACTCAACAATCCTTTCTTTTTTTTTACTACCCCCAATTTTCTCTTTTTATGGTTGATGTTATCGCTAAGCAAAATTTTTCAACTTTCTATTAAAGAAGTAAGAGATTTCTGTCTAGGTTGGACTAATAATGTTGATCTTTTTTCTTGTTTGATTTTTATCACATCTTTCGGTGTTGATCAAAATGATATTCATGTTTTTAGGTCAATGGGTGCTAGAAGTGTTAGCAAATCTATAATTTAGATATTTCTTCAGAATTATGTGTTAAGAGAACCTGCTTTTCTGTTAATGGGTATTTCTTTCTCCAAGCTAATCATTAAGCTTTGATTTTCTTTGTTTATTAATGCATATATATTTTTCTACATGGAAAATTATTACACTAACAATTGTCATATCTACATTTTAGTTTAAATCATCTGAACTGAACATGAAAATTTTCTTGATTATAGTGAAGTGGGTCACTAGTAATTCAATTTCAAAAACTCATCTGCTACAAATTATGACGAAGAGGGGCAAGATGATATTCAACAATGAAGAACTTTCAGAAGATCGATGCTTTGAATGTAAAGATGGAGGAGAGATCACGATTTATAACTATAGGCAAGTCGTTTTGCTAAAAAATAATTTTATTTTTGGTATAATTGATGAAATATACTAGAAACATAGTCATAATTTGGAAACATTTTTACGATGACTATGTCTCTTGTTTATTTATCAAATATACCAAAAGTAAAATTGATTTTTTTAGCAAAAGGATTTTGCTCATAGTTACAAATCATGAGGTCTCCTCCATCTTGACATTCAAAGCACCAATCTTCTGCAAGTTCTTTTTTGTTGTAAATCTTCTTGACCCCATTCGTTGCAATTTGTAGCAATGAGTTTCTTAGTTCAGATTATCAACACTAAAATGCAGATATGACAATTATTAGTTTAATTTTTCTCCTTTTAAAAAATAGCAAGAAAATATATACATTAACAAACAAAGAAAATCAAAGCTTGATGAATAGCCAAAGATATATACATTAACAAACAAGAAAAATCAAAGCTTGATGATTAGCCTTAACAAAAGACAATAGAAAAGCAAGTTCTCTTAACACCGAATTCTAAAAATCTCTCAAAAATCATAACAATATAGATTTTCAAACACTTCTAGCACTCATTGACCTGAAAATCATTTATGTCGTTTTGATCAACGAAAAGATATCATAAAAATCAAAATAATAACAAAGTCTGTATTACTGATCCAATGTAGAGGCAAATCACTACATTCTTCAATAGAAAGATGAAAAGTTTTGTTCAACGATAACATCAACCATAGAAAAGAGAAATAGGGGTAATGAAAAAAAAAGGAATTGCAGGTAACGAAAAAAGAGAGTATTGAGGTTAATGAAAATAGAAATATTTTTCTAATAAGTTTTTTAATAGAAGAGTCCAATTCCACAAAGTTATACTTCTTGGATGGGAGGAATCTTTTCTTGGATACAACAATAAGTTACTTATGAATTGCTGGCACACACTCAACAATCCTCTCTTTTTTCCTTACCCCCAACTGTCTTCTTTTTATTACCCCAATTCTCTCTTCTATGGTTAAAGTTTGCCTCCAGTTTCTTGAGAGAATTGTAGTTTGTACGTCATGATAAAGAGAAAAATTGACAGTAACAAATATAAAAGAATGGAGAAATCCTCCTCAACAAGACTATTAAGGTTAACTGAGAATATACATCACATGATATGAAGGGTCTGTTATTACCGCGACATGTGAAAAGGTTATCCACATTAAAAGATTTTTATCATGTGGCGCACTGAACTAGAAACAGTAACTGAGATGACAAAAAGCTCAATTTTTTAATAAGTTATACTTGGACCTAGTTCATATGCAATGTGAATCTTGCAAGTTATAAGCAAATCGAGGGCAAAATAGCCTGCCTTTTCCAATTGTCTCCTAATAGTCATTGCACTCTTTGATATTTTGGCACTCAATTTAAGCTATCTCATGTGCAAGGGACAAGGATCTAACAAAATAGCACATGACTTATCTCAAAAGCTAAGTGTCATAATTCCACCTCTCACTAGCACAAGTACCGAGTAACTCTACCCACCAAGATTTAGGAAAATTCGGGGGGTTGGGGGGGTTATGCTGGGATTTGAACCCTAGTCTTTGGAAGTTTATACCTTATCATGCCTTCATCGACTACTAGGCCACTGGAATGCTATTTAATGTATTCTTTTTATAGATCAGGATACCAAAATCATCTTATAGAAAAATCCACTTCTTGGATAAGAACTTGTACCTGAAAGATTCTACAGAAAATGCAAAAGAACATCTATGTGATAGAATCTATTATCTATCAGAATCTACCCAAACAAGTATAAATTGGTATTAACTATAGAGCAGGATATCATGACCAATCATATGTCACTGTTTTTGTTTGTTTGAGTTGATTCTATCAATCCACAGAAACAACACTATCTTTTACCTAGATCCCAGTTCGTAAAACAGCAGAACCTTTCTTTAAAGGAATGTTCATAAGCTTTTTAAGTTATCTTTTTTCTATTGATCAGTATGCTTAACAACCAGTTTTTTCGCAACTGAATATTCCACTCTATGTTTGAGAATCACGAATGAATATCTGAAGTCATAACATAAATCTATTTCCTTGAGAACCTGCTAAAACTTATAATCTATACACCAATTGAGAAAAAGCATTCAACATACCACCAGTTGTTGGCATCTTTCACCATTTCAATCACATACTTTCTTTCTTTTGCGTGTTCCTATTTTAGTGAGTCAATTTACAAAATAACTGGAACAACTACACCAGAATCTTCCACCTTTATGTTCTTCCCAAGGAAAGCTAAGTAACATTTCAAAAATGAAACTGTATTCTAGAACTACATGACCTAAATTCAAGCTAGAAGATGGCGTAGGGCAGAAAAATGTTGAGCAAGTGCACACCAGAATAATTTGCTATATTTTAGCTGTTTTCTGTTTCCTAATTTGTTTAAAATTTTGTTAGCTAATGTTAAGTATAGTTCCTCAATTTCAGCAAGCACTAACTTAGTTTTAGCAGACTTTTCACCATTACTTCACAGCATCTTTAGTTAAGCTGCGATGCATTTATACAGTCTCCCGATATCAATAGACGACATTTTTCGTTTTCTTCTTCGATCAGTTTATTCTCCTCTTTTAAACACTAACATTGGCATCACAGCCCTTTAGTTCTTAAGGGACTTTGTGAGAATTTGTGAGTTATATTGATTGAGTGAAACCCAAACATAACCAAACCAATCCATAAAACTAGCTTGCAGAATAATGGAAGGTGAAGGTATTTTTTCATCAATTGCTTCGCCAATTTTTGATGGAGAAAACTATCAGGTTTGGCTGTTAGGATGGAAGACTACATGGATGCATCATGCATGTGGTCTCTGTGAGGCAGTAGAGGAGGATTATTAAGTTCCCCCTTTACCAGGCAACCCTACAATGGCTCAGATTAGAACTCACAAAGAGAAGAAGACCGGGAAGTCGAAGGCGAAGGAGAAGGAGTGTCTCTATGCTGCAATATCTCATACTATTTTTCCAGAATCATGACTCTTAGATCAGCTAAGGAAATATGGGACTTTCTGAAAAAGGAATATTATGGAGATAAAAGAATTTGAGATGCGAAGTTCTTAAACTTGGTGAGGGAATATAAGATGCAAAAAATGAAGGAATCTGAGATAATTAAAGAGTACTCAGATAACTTATTAGCCTGACCCATAAGATGAAGTTGCCTGGTACCGAACTTTCTGATACAAGGATTGTCCAGAAAATATGTATTACTTTACCTGAAAAGTTTGAAACAACAATTGCTTCAGTGGAAAATACAAAATATCTGTCAAACATTACTTCGGCAGAACTTTTAAACTCCTTGCAAGCACAGAACAAAGAAGAATAATGAGGAACAAGGCAACTGTTGAAGCAGCTTTTTAAGCAAGGCATCAATTCAATGCTGGAGGCAAAGGCAGGAAGCAGAAGTTAAAGTAGAGCTATGCTACATCGATAGAAGCTTCTGTAACTGATAGCAATTCTAGGTACAACAACAAAGGTGGAAACTATCCACCATATCAGCATTTTGGGAAGAGAAATCATCCACACTTCAAATGCTGGAAAAAAACTGGTGTGAGATGCAGAAAGCGTCATAAACTTGGTCATGCTGAGATTATTTGAAAAGGAAAAGGATCACAACAATTAAATGGAGCTCAAATTGCAGATGAACAAGAAGAAGATCAGTTGTTTGTGGCTACTTGTTTTGCAAGTAGAAGTTCAAGCGGAAGTTGGTCAATTGATAGCGGTTGTAAAAATTATATGACTCACGACAGAGAGATCTTCAGAGAGTTACACAGATCTGCAATCTCTAAAGACAGAATTGGTAATGGAGATTATCTTCCAGCCAAAGGGAAAGGCACCGTAGCTATTGAAAGCTACTTGGGTACAAAGTTAATCTCAAATGTACTTTTTGTTCCTGAAAATTTGTTGTGC